CACACACACACACACACACACACACAAACACCTCACTGACTGTGTGCCTTTCTGCTTCACATCACTCCTTCAAAACGACTAGCTGCTCCCCTGTCATAGGTGGGACTTTGTTGCTATGGTGTTTTGGCCAATGGAATGGCATTTCTAGGAACGCCGCCGGTGTCTGTGTCTCCCTCTACTTCACACACACCCTCACACACACACGCACACACACACACACCGACTCCCCACATGAAGGAGCCTGTTGAGCAGGGATCCAGATGACCCCCTGGCAACAAAAGCAAGGCCCTCTCTTTGTTTGCCTGGTTGAACTCTGGTCAGGAGGTTGCATACTTCATTTCAGCAACAACACTTGGCACAACATAAAGCGCCTGCACAAACACAACAATTGGTTCGCGCATACATCTGAAATGCTGATTCTGTTGTGTCTTAGCCCCAGAAATGTCAGCGCTTCCTCTGAACATAAAGCTTCTCTGTTGTACAGCTAAGTTTTACTTGACGTAACTGTGAATTAACTCCGCATCATGTTTGATGAAGGGTTTCCAGTCTAATCCCCTTCACATGTGAATAAAAGGATGACGAAATGGATTGTTGGGTGACAATCAATACGAAGCTGCTGAGGGGATTTAAAGAGGCTGCTGCCTGGCTTCGGTTCGCAGGCAGAAATTTCACCAGATTTCTTAAATAACTTATTAATATCAGAGAGACGTATGCAAAATCTCCATCCTTTGTCGAGAATATTGTTCTTAAAAGGGTAATGATTTTCTGACACGTGTTCCAGATCATTTGAAAAACTCTTTCAAGGGTTTTTCTCCTGTATTGAAAATATTTTTGCATGTAGCTTAACAGATCAAATGAAGCTGTTTTGACAAACCTGCCAATCAAGAATGGCAGGCGAGATTCTCCATTTATATAGAGACTAATTTTTGCAAGTGCATACTGTCCCTGTTTTTCTTTCAGCTGCAGGGTGCAAACTCACATGAATGATTTTGGCAGCTTTTTGCCATCTGATGCTCCTCCTGATGCCACCTGGGTTCAAACCTGCAGCTCCTTATCCACCACAAGGTCACTTCAACAATCATTCACTCTCACACACACCTTAGGACAATTTAACATTACCAGATAACCTGACGTGCATGTTTTTTGATCTGTGGGAGGAAACTGGAGAAAACCCACACGTGCATGGAAAAAACCAACCTGCAAAATCCTCCGAGAAAGGTCCAAGACAGCAACCTTCTCACTGCAGACAACAGCCCCACCAACTGCACCAGCGTTTAATTGCACTTGTTTTTATCACCTATATTCCAGGCAACGTTTTTCCAGAAATAAAAACCACTTAAACCCAAAAACAGCAACTTCTTAGTACGCATACTTTTAACAGCACATGATAAACTGTGATTTGAGTGACACCGTTCACCTTTATGTTTGTCTTCTAATCACTTGAAAGGACTGATCCATGAGGCTCAGAGGTTTTGTAGGTGGTTGCACATTTTATTTCCTCAGGTGAAGCAGTAACTGCCCACATGTGGACAGAAACAGTCATGTAACTGATCTAGCCCTAAGAAATGAATGACAGATTATTTGAGACCTTTATATCCAGGTTGCCAAATCTTCCACAATGAGATACTTTTAAAATTATGACTTTCAGGTATCTTATAAGGCTGTAGTACCTTTTTTTTTTATTAAAATAGTTCAATGTTTCTGTTTGTATCTAGAAATAACTCCATGTAATACTATTAATAGACTGCCACCTAGTGGTTTCATTTTGCCATTTTTAGGTTTTAAGTTTACATATTGGGACAAACAAGTGAATTTGAAAGTTAGAAAGCCTATTTGTTTCCCTTTTAAATGGTGTCACATTTGTAAGGAGTATGCATTTGTGGGATGAGCAGTAGAGCAGAGTATGTGGGTTGTGCACATGAAAATTGAGCCAAATGTTTTGCCCAACAGCTTATTTTGCTGTTTTTATTGTTTGTTTTGAGCTTCTGGTAGCCCTGGGTGCTGCCAATCAGATGCCTGCTATAAGATTTATTACTAAGAAGCATTATTACAACAAAGAAATGACCTACCAAACACTGATTTCCTTACTTGTTGTGCTAAGTACATAAAGAAAACCCCAATATTCAATAGGTTTTTCTAAAATAAATATTTTCAGTAGAGGCATCGTAAAATAGTTTTTCTCAATTTTTTTATTAAGTAAAAAAATAAAAACTGGATAATCTCTGACATCAACTAGATTTGCAAAACTCTTTGTTTTAGCAGCTAAGAATTCACACTCCGGAGTCATGAACTGCTAAACTTTATTTTCAGATTAAAACAAAGCACAGCATTAAAACATTTTAAACGCTTTAATAACATCCACCCACTGTCGTAAAATTGAGGGAAAAAGAAATAAAGATGCAATCGAGCACTTCATGCTCAGATTATTTTGTCGAACCTGTTTGATCAGAAACAGGAAATCACCTTTTTGAATGACTTACCCACTATCAAAAGTTGAATTATATCATGCCAAGTTTTATACAGACAGACATGGGCGAAAAAAAAAATGTATTCACAGGTTTTCAAGTTTGTGATGCTGAAGAATGCATTCGATCGAGTACGTTAACGTGGTCAGAGTGTTTCAGATGATTGGTTAGTACAAAGCCTGCAATGCGGTGGAGCACCAGGTCCTCAGGCAGGACGCAGGTGGGATCAGCCCGGGGGTGGGGGGAGGGGAGGGGTTTAGAGTTTCAGGAAGGGGATCGGGGGTAAGCTAAAGGTCAGAAACGGGGTTAGGGAGGGCTGATTTCGAGGCTTTGTGTTCATTTCTGTTTGGGCTCCAGTGGTTGACCGATGTCTTTCCCACGCAGTTTTCGACCTGGCAGAAAAACAACAAAAAAACACATTTGTGACATATTTTTGTATTATTTCAGTTTCTTTCACAACAACAAGCATCAAACGTAATACTTACCAATTGCTCTCTCGATTTTGCCCATCACCTGGTTGTTGGGTATTGCTTTCCCACTCTCATAGTCAGCAATAACTTGTGGCTTCTCATTAATTTTCTGAGGGAAATGTTTGCAACATGAGTTTATCGCAATAAAAACAAAGCGTGCTGCGTCATGTAAACGATGGGAGGGCTTGTCACGTGTCAGGCGAGGCTCGTGTTTACTCACAGTAGCGAGGTCTTTCTGGGTCAGGCCTTTCTCCTGTCGGCCCTGCTGAATGACCTTCCCCACCTCCAGCGGAACCCTGTCATGGTGGAGCTCCTCTGTCTCTCTGTCCAGTTTGGCTGTATTTTTTGTCACCAGATGCTGTTTGTTTTGCCCTGCAGACCCTGAGAGACGAGCAGTGGATTAAAAATAACGCCAAACCAGTTGGCAAGCCGAGGGCAATCTAAGAAGCGCATTGATATAATGTGAAGTTGTAAATATTTGCTGAAGTCTTAGTAGCCAATAAAGAAAAGTGAAATTTACATTTCTTGCTTGTCTCAACGTCCTCCCCACGTCTCTGAGCAGCAGTGATAGCCTGGAGAAAAGACGGACCAAGATATGATAAATTTCTTCATTTTTATTTTGTTTATTTGTTTTTATATGCGTGTGTTTTGTATTTTTTTATGTTTATTGTGTGTAAATCACATTACGATCAAGTTTGTACTAAACTCTATCTGTTTTAGCTTCGTCATTTCCAACCATGTAGCTAATGAGAAACACGTTATCTTATCTGGGAATACTGACCCAGTTCAGCAGTAACATTAGGTCAACAATCCTGCCTAAACACACGTTCACGTTTACAGATTAAACCTTCAGCTTTATTAGAGCAAAGCAACATTTGGTTCACATTATCAGTATTATCAGAAAAAATAAATAAAAAATAAAATAAAAACAGAGGTAATATTCTAGACCAGTGTTTCCAAAAGTTGGGGTCGGGACCCAAAGTGGGGTCCTGAAATGTCAAGGTGGGGTCCTGACAAGATTTTCTGAATTAATTACATTTTTGCCTTAGTTGTTACAAAGGTGTGAGGTTAGTGTATTTAAAATGGATAAATGTAGTATAAAAATATTACTATGCCCATGTTTAGTTGACCTGATGCAAATGTTTATCATCCAAAAATATTTGGGGCACAGGTCTCTGCTACTGTTATTTTGTGGGTCAAAATCTAAAAAGTTTGGGAACCACTGCACTTTGGTTCCCAAAGTTGGGCTTGGGACCCAATAATGGGTCATGAAGCACCTTGGAAAATCTCCAGAAATCAATTTAAAGGGTAATAAAATAATTGCTGATGTAATATTTTCCCTATAATTATTACAAAAACACAAAATAAGTATTTATATTTGTGTATAAGCTGTTTAGATTGTCAAAAAGCCTGTGTTTTTGGGGTTTTTAACAAAGTTTACTCGGACCATATTTGGGGTCACAAGTTTTTGCCATGGACATTTTGTGGGTCAGAAGATAAAAAGTTTGGGAACCACTGGTGTAGACATATGAGCCATGGCTGCTGCTTGTTCAAAAGTATAATAAGAGGACGTCAAAAACTAAAACGACTTTTTCAAAAATCTCAAATACATCTCACAAATAGAAACTGGGAACCATTGTGGTTTTTATTTTCGATCATTTCAAGTCACTTCTTGAAATAGTTATTCAACTAAACAGTTTTTTGATCCATTGTTGCATTTCTCTATTTTCCTTAGTTATGGCTTGATGGAAACAACTACAGTTGTTCTCTTCTAATATTAAAAGTACTATTTATTGTAAGTGTTAATTATTTAGTAAGATTTAGTTTAAAAAATCTTCAAGTTAGTTTCAAAAATATACATCTCATCCTAGTTATAGGAGGCTTTTTTATGTGACTATGAAAAGTTACTGAGGTTAATAGGCATGAATGAATTTTAAACAGTTCACTGAATGTAAACAAACTAATACATTTTATTAGCATTTTATGGTCACCAGGGTTTCAAAAGGCTAACTGTGACAAATAATACAAGTGCGACACTGTCAACTTTTGAACTAGATGTAGAGCCATAGGATGTTTAACAAAGAAGCAAGTGTTAATAAATCAAGCTATTACCAGACTATTAAATTATAAACAGAATAACGAGGAAATTAACGTTTATAATACACTGACGCTGTTGCTTTCGGCCACGTGTACTTTTATATAAACACATATTGATGTGTTTGACTGATTTGTTAACACAAAACAACACGAGACCTTTCCGGTGGGGCGTTCTTTAACTAAAATACGGCCTTTCGGTGGTTTTACTTGGCTAACAGAGGTTAGCTTCCAGATGTTTACTAAAGAAAACGTCTCGCGCTTTAGCTAACGTAGAAACAGTTAAGCTGCCATAAACTAAAGTACGACGCCTGCTCCCAGTTTGGCTTGTAACAAAGAGCTAAAACCGCTTGTTCTGTCTAGAACTAAATATAAACATTATACTTCTCTGTTGGCTACATATGAAGCAAACTCAAATGGGCAAAAAAAAAAAACACACGCGAGCTAACACAAACCAAACAAACGAATTCGTGCCGAGCGTCAGTACTGACCTGTTTAGACTTGGCCTGCGCAGCAGTGGGGCCCTTCTTCCTCAACACAGTCACCGTATCCCAGTCGCTTTCTGCCATGTTTTTCTGGGGCTTATTCGGCACAAAGGAAGGGTCGTAATCGATAAAGAAACAGGCAGAACTAAGTATGTGTAAAACTAAGGTTTGAGTAAGGCCGTGTCACTTCAGCGAGTCAGCTTCTTCTACAATCACCACACGCGTGTTGCCAAAACTTTATTTATAAAAAGATCGTTAACAGAGACATGACGGCGGCCAGCAGCGCCCCCTGCTGTTTGAGGTCAGTAACGCACATGAATACAACATGAACGAAAAACAAAGCTATGCATAACTAATTGTTACAACTTGTAAAAAAATAATTCTAAAATAACAGAAAAACAAAGCTATGCATTTCTAATAGTTACAACTTGTAAAAAACTAATTCTAAAATAACAGACTACACAATGACATTTTCATACATCATCTCAGGTTTCCAAAGACAAAGACAGAACTGTAATAATGGTAGGGTTTATTATTGTTTTATGCCCTGAACTGACACATGGCAAAGGATTCGCAATCACCAATTACAGGACATTTCTGAGGCAGCATCGCTGTTTCGCCTCGTACGGATGGGGGACCAGCCAAACTCGGACACGGCATCCTCAGCCTGGGGAAGGCGTCCCACGCGGTAGCCATGTCTGGAACCCTGTCTCGATGTCCAAGTACGAGGTTTTGGATTCTTCTAGAACAATTAAAGAAAACATCGAGAAATTAATTACGACTTCTAGAATGACTTTAATGTCAATAAGTGAAAATAAAACCTTTATCGTAATTTTTTTTTTCTGTGCCCCACCTGAACAAAAACTGTTGTGTTCACGTGGAGAGTTTCCACTCGATCAGACAAGTGATTGAGAAACTCCAGGTGGTCACCAATTAACTGGGTTAGATCATTGTTGGTCTGTATGAGGAAACACAAATCACGCCGACAATATCAGAGAACAGGTAAAATTTGTTTTGATTCGCCTACAGTTGATGGTAGATAAGGATTGTTACTAAAGTACCCCAGAGATGTTGTCTTTCAGTTCAACAGCGGTGAGACGAATGTGCTCCAGTTTGTCCAGCTGCTCGTCCAGATGGTCATTAAGCTCCTGCATCATCATCAGACCTTCATCTGGCTTGAGAACTCCCTTCTTTGCCATCTGAGGGGGGCAAAACAAAACAAATTTTCATCAATGAAAGTCTTATACCCAAAGACACGATTCTAGTGTCCTAAAAGGGAAAGCTGATCATTGGTTGGTAAATAAATAAATAAATAAATAAATAAATAAATAAATAAATAAATAATAAACCAAGTTTTTACTTGATAAAAATAATTAAAGCGAACAATTTGAAACAATCCACTACTAAAGCTTATTAATTCATTCCAATTACCCGTTAGGTAATAATTGGACCTAAATAATTATTTAGGTATTAAATGCCTTATTACTGGAGATGCTGGGGGGGATTCTAACTAAATATTTTTTGGTGCATTTTGTTTTTCACTTTGGAGTACAGAGAGACAAAATTTGTCTAAGAAGACCGACAGAAAAAGAGAACAAAGAAACAGCCATTTTAGTTCACAATCTCTTACGAGCAGACTTACTTCTTGGTTTCTCAACATTTGAGGCTGAAGCTTAATGAGATAAAGAAAGAAAGAAAAACAGTGAAGTTACCTTGTTTATCTGCAGCTGAGTCAGCTATAATGTTTGGAGAAAATTTCGAAATAAACGTAGAAGAACGACTTCGTGACTTCTTCACTCGCAGGCAGCAGCGACACAAAACTTTTGTCCACACAACGTGCCTCTTTTGTCCAGAAAAACGTAAAAATCTGCGGAAAGACGTTCCTAACGTCACGGTGCGTTCACAGACCGTCGGGATTCTAGATGCTCTGCTACTGCGACCCTCATTTTCTAAAAGCCCATGCAAAAGCTAGGTTTTTTTTTTTTTTTTTACGTTTTTCATATTTTTTTTGTAGCTAACATTGTCATCTTAAAAAAAAAAAAACAAGACGAACAATCGTATTTACGTTAGTTTATCTTTTCTGATTAGAAAGCAGCATATTGTCTGTAGAAAGACCATAAAACCGTACGGTACAGTGCCATGAGAGAAAGATACATTTAATACTTTCCTTTTTTCTTTAAAAATCCTGGACGTGCACACTCACAGTGATGTTCTAAGTGTGGTGATGCTCTGCACAATAAGAACACAAAAGAACAGTGCTGCAAGGATTTCAGAACAATTTCAGTCATTTCTGTGGCAGTAAAATGAGCACAGCATATATATTTATAAGCCAATAGGAAAATGTTAATAGCATTTGAAATAAAGAGTACAGCCATACTCAGTAGTGCTGATGTATTGAAACCCCAAACTATTTTGGTCATGTCTTTCTTATTCTGTAACCTAAAATATTCTGATTTAAGCCTACCTTTCACAAGGACAAATAGTTGACAAATTTCAAAGTTTGCTTTAAATTTGTGAAAATGTTAAGTGACAACATAGAATCAACAATACACTTAAGAAATCACAACTGCTTTATTTTTCCCACTCCAATAGGCTCTTTTTTTGAAACAAGGATGAGTAATGACCAAATATCTGAAAGAACAAAAGTTGCAGGATAAACAGGATCAGTAGCAGAAAGAACTGGTCCTCTGACAAAAAAAAAAAAAAAAAAGTGCATCTTAAAAGTACAAAAACCAAAAAGTCAGGGCAGCATTTTGGTGCGGATACAATAAGCATCAAGAACTTTTGCAGTAAGAGATAAAAACACTCCAAGCTTTAAGTGAAAGCAGTCCGTTCTGAGAACACAGTGACCTTTTCTTCTTCTTTTTTTAAACTCCCCTCCCAACATTAAGTCCTTTATAGTGCCACAATATTTAAAATGATACGCGTGTTTAAGCCTCCCCTCAAGGGGTAAGGCTCAACTGTACAGGTCAGTAAATGCATTTACATAGAAACCAGTGAAAAACGGTTAAACATTTTGTAGTGTCCTGGAGCATGATGACAAGCGGTAACATCTAAATTGGTAAAGACATTGGTACTGTGAAATACATAGCCCCACCCTCAAAAAAATAAAACTAAAAACAAACATGGTGGGGCTTTACATTTTTAAATAGAACACTTAGAAAGTCTTTGTATTTGCCAGAAAAAAAGGAGTAATTTAATTAAACAAGAAACTCTAGGTGCCCTTTGTGATAATTTAAAAAAAAATTATTGGCCCCCGGATTGTAATTCTAGTTAAGCTGCATTTATATTGCTAGTGCTGCTTCAGAAAATAAGTGCTGATTTAAAAAACAAACAAACAGAAATTAAAATTTTCTTCACAATTGCCCACAGCACAGCTCAGGAGGGTCTAAGTGAAAGTTAGAGGAGCCTTTACCACCCTAAAAATTCAGAAAACCACCCCAGATAAAAGGATGTGGAAAAAAAAACACAAAATCACTTCAACCACGTTCCTTACCAGACAAATTCATTCATTACAACCAAAGCAAAGCGATACAAAAGCTGACATTTCAATGAGCGATTTGAGGGGTCTTAACAGGGTTTGTGAAACTTTAAACCCCCTCCAGGTTTGCGAAGAGTCCGACTGCCGCCAAGTAGTTTGATCCAAATCCATACAGTGGACGTCCACGTGAAAAACGCAGAGTTCAGACAGTTTTTGTGACATGTTGCCAGCTTCGAGACGAGTCCTGCGGGTTTATGCTCGTTCAGCTCAATGCATGCACACGCTGCGTCAGTTCCAGTGAAGAGCCGGTGGAAGCGACATGATTTTGACAAATGTTCATATTTGTTTCCTTACAGTTTGTATTTGTAACAGCGAGAAAAACAACGGGAAAAAAAACAATTCAACAGTTTTTGAAAAGAAATAATTTTGATCGGAACTGTGTTGATTACTTACATCCAGAGATGCATTTCCAGGGTGACACAATTTATTTTTGCAATGTTGACAAGCTCGGATTTTGATTTACGTGTTAATCAAATAAGTCCTTCACATGTGGCTTGAATGGGTGGTCATGAAGTCAACTTTTATTTACCAGCAAATTGTGAACGAAAATGACAAATGTGCCCCACTGCATTTCAAAGTTGTTAACAAAAAAGAGAGAAAAAAACAACAACCTCTTCCTTCTCATAGTACATTATATCAAGGGTTGTGTCTGGTTCTGAGGGCTACAGTCCATTTACAGGAAGTGAATACAGTTTGGCAGAAAACAGTATGAAAAGTGAACCATGGGACTTTGTTCTTCTCTTTTCTCCACTTACCAAGAAAAGCACAAAGCATCTTGTCTCTCATCTCTTTATTAGGGTCTAATAATAAATTAAAGAGAACCTTTAAGAGATCTGAATAAAAGATGGTCTGTGTGTATGTGTAATATATATATATATATTTATATATTTTTTATTTATATATCTCTATACTTGGGGTGACATAATAAGTGTCCAGTACTGGAAGTCCATGTGTACGCCCCTTGCCCTGGAGCCTCAGGATCAGCTGGGTTTTTACAGTGGCTCCATCGGTCAAGGTTTGTGTTGGCAGGCTTGGCTGCAATGAGGATTTTAAAGGTCCATTGTTACGCTTTGCCCTCCTCTACTTTGACAGCCTGGGGTTTGATGGCTCCAGTGCGTGCTGGTTTGGCTTGACCCGTGGAGGTTAGGGGCTCCTGGAGTTTGCTGGTCAAGCCCCCTGGTGGCGATTTGCCCTCCCCCATTGCCTTGCGCACTTCTCGCAATGCTTTACTCTACACAAAGACAAGGCAGACTTAAAGGCCTGGTGCACTGCCAGACAATTATTTACTTATTTCAGCAGGAAGTTTTAATTTAAAAAGAGACTTTAGTTAGCTGTTATTTCTGTAAGGTCATCTGTTATTGGTTGGTCAAGTGACAGACTTTTGCTTTTTAAAATGTTCTGAAGAAACATGAAATATAGCTATAATTGTTAAAGGTACTCACTGCAAACCATGACACCAAACATAACAAAACAGTGAAGTTTGAAAGACTAAAATATTGTGACTGATAATAAAATTTCAGATACACATTTATTTTTCCTATTATAATAATTTACTTTAAAACAGAAAGAGTACATATCGATATTTAGTTTTAGTGTTCGTTTCTGGAACTTAATTCCTCGTTTGAAATCATAACCAGGATTTGACCAGGTTTTCTATAAACACAAGACGATGTGATCCAGGACCATTTTCCAGAGACTCCAAAGTGAGGGAGGGGGATTTGGAAAATGGACCAGATCGGAGTCATGTGTGACAAATTTTGTATGTCTGTAAATAAATATCAAAGTCTGAGAATTATATTGATCTCCTGCACATAATTTGTTCCCTCATTTGAACAAGACTACTTTAATAGTTTTCCAGATAAAGTGAACATAATTCTGAAATGCAGATCCACATTAAATGTAAACAAAGCACTCAGCTGCTTCTTCCAGAAAAACCACAAGGAAGCTTAAGTCACGTGATTGACCTACATTACACTGGCCGTCATTTGAAGATAAACAAATGCATGTATAAAAGGTTACGATTTAATTCAGTCTCTTTCTGCAGGTAAACAAACATTACTTTCTAAATTGGTCACACATTTCACTTACAAATTTCTAAAGACACATTAATCAATAATATAATAAAAAATCATGCAGATTCTTTCTTCCTTGAGTTTTCTTATGTCCAGTCATCGTGATTTTACAATGAGTACCTTTAAGTACAACTATCAAAACTTAACAGAAAGCCTAAAAAAAGAGCTTTAAGTAAACTGCATCACATAAAATCTTTCATCAATCTCTCACAATTAAAAGACCAAATCTTAATTTTACACAAGATATACTTAAACCAAACCATTAAGCAGCATTAGATAATCCAAATATATAACTGAACTGCTAAACAGCAGATAAGATGTAATTTAGATATACATTAAAAAAAGTTCCATTTTTAGAATAACTTTTTAAAATAATTTACTCCTCAGACAAATAATCAGTTATTATAATAACTAGAAAATTGGCACAATTCTTTTGAATTCCTAACAAAACCAAAAAAAAAAAAAAAAAAAAATCTAAGAGAAAGAAAAATGGATAAAATTAAATTACCTATATTTACAGGGGGTGGCTCACCTTCATGCCATCCTCTGGCCCTTTGACAGGGGGCTCAGGGACTGAAGTGGGGGTAGAATGGGGAGGGTCACGGCCAGGATTAGGGTAAGGGGGGGAACGGATGATTACAGGCTTGTTGCCCTGCATCACAGGTCTTTGAATGGGGTTGGGGAAAGGACCGGTGGGGGGGCGCATGTGCATTACCATACTGCCTTGAGCAGGTGAAACCTAGAGGTGATGGAAGAAGAAAACATGGATTAAATTAAAGGAGGGGGAAACAAAGTCAGTTCCATAATTTCATTCTTATAGTTATAGATTAGAATTCTTATTGTTTTTTCATGAGTCAAACACATCTGTTGCCGATTGATGCTGTGACTATATGTTCATTCAAAATAAACTAATTTAAAACATTACTTTGATTAAATAGATTATGAATTATATATTACGAGACGTTGATCCTGGAATACCTTTTTAAGATGGACTGACAGTCAAACTTAAAGATTTACCTGTGTCACATGCCAGAATATGCTAAAAGAAGTTAGGTTGAATAAAAAGGTCATACCTGCTGAGTAAAATGGGTAGGCATGGGTAGCACAGGTCCACCAGGACCAGAGGGCTTCCCACTTGGGCTTGCAGAACCAGGTCTGAGGAAGAAAGGCACAAAAATAATATTTATATTTTTAAAATGTCCCATTCTTGAAACGTGGTATTAGTGTACGTATATCCAATTTTGTTTTCTATCACATGAACTGAACATGTGCAACTACCTGTAGGAACCTCCGGATAAGCCCGGGGAATGATTGGGCTTTTCAGAGAACTGGAAACCTTTCATTTCCATCTGTGAGCCCTAAAAACAGGACAATAAGAGAGACAGTTATTCGATAAATAATTGTGGAGGGCTTATTTACACCACGCATGCAGGTGGACATAAGCTACAAAACAGTTTAGTACTAATGTAATGTTCGCTGAGACCCACCTCTCTGCTGCCTGTCATGACAGCAGGCTGGGAGCCGGGTGGGAGCATTCGGCGTGGTGCTCCTACTGACAGGTTCTGCCCCTGCTGCAACTGAATTGACTGCGGGAGGATAAGTTGCTGAGCTGAACCATAGCGCAGTTGAGAGCCGGGAAGAGGCATGGTCACCTGATCAAAAGAATCATCCAGACATGGATCAGTCGTACAGTCATTGCTAAATCAATTTCAGAAAAAAGTAGATAGAGCAAAAATATTATTGTTAGGGTGCTGTAAAATTCACCTGAATGAGCTGAGAGTCCATCAGCTGGGAAGAACCCAGACCAGGCCCCTGGTTCATCTGGCTTTCATAGACTAGCTGCTGGCTGCCACTCAAAGGCTGATAGTGGGAGCCGGACTGTGGTTTCACCAGGTCTGAGGGCTGCATACCAGGGAAAGCCGAGTATGGTCCCTTGAGAGGGCCTCCACCAGACAGCACCAAGGGACTGGGCTGTGACAGGTTGGGGTGCATGTAAACCTGGGACCTGAAAGGTGTCAAGAGAGAGGAGCACAAAGATATTATGATATTAAGCTTTAGCAAAAATACCTTTAATCATACAAATATAACCACAAGAAAGTAACCACAGCTGCTAGTACCTGAACGGAGGGATGGAGCTGAACATCTCTTGGGATTGAGAGACAGGCAGACCCCCTCGAAGCCCCAACTGAGCCTGAGCCTGAAGAGATGTGTGCAAAGAGATGGGTATCTGCTGGGCTGCAGCTGCCTGAACAGACGAGGACGTAAAACATGATGTCAATCTATCTAACAAACATTCCCGTGCATGAGTGTGTTTATCTTTCTACCTGTGGATAGGTCTGCTGCTGGGTCATAGTGGGAGGCACAAGGCGTGGCTGACTTTGAAAGACGTGGCCATCCATATACAAAGGGGTGATAGGACTACCTATATAAAGTGAGGAGAACCAAACTTAGTTAAATTCACCCAGACTGAGCCGTTATAAAACAGAAAAAAATAACTATAATTCTACCTTGCATGGACATGGAAGGTGCCACTGATGCAACAGGCATTGGAGGCATGGAAACTCCAAAAGAGCTGTAGCTAACACCAGTGGATGAACCAACGCTGCAGGGAGGCTGAGAACCTGAAGCAACCCCACCAGGGGAGCCCTGTTCTGGGAGGGACTGAGAATTCTCCCAAGCCTTGCGTGCAGATTCCATCTGGAGAACAAAAATATATATCAGGCAGATTTAAAAATGCAATTTAATGTAGTTTAGCTTCCGTGATGCTGCAAAACGCATCTATACAGGTTAGTGCTGCATTAAACATTCCCCTTCTTTGTTACAAAAAATGTACAAATTCCTATTTACATGAAGGATTAAAATTTCACATACCTTGAGGGTTAGGTCAGCACTGGGGAAGATGGTGTTGAGGCCGATGCCAGGCTGCAGGTGGTTGGAACGTAACAACGGAATACTCTGATTTAGAGATGTCTGATGAAGAAAATAATACATTTTATTACAAAATAAAACATTTTATTCTCATAAAAAATTCATTGAACCATTTCATTACTTGTCTGACCTTTAACTGACATGTTCCCATTACTTATCTGTTTAGAACAAGTCCTATATATGTTTAAAAAAGGGCCACTCACATTGTTAGCAAGTGCATCTTGAAGCTTGTTAACAGGATCGGATACGGGCACTGAGGCGGAGCCCGGGGGAAGGCTAAAATCAGAGTCTTTGGCACTGACACCAAACTCTATTGGAGGCACAGGCAGCACCGAGTCCACATGAAGATCCACACCGTTGACCGGAGTAATGGGTCCGCTTTCCAGCCTATCAACACCTTCTGAGCCCTTACGGTGCTTCAGAGAGCGTTCGTTACCGATGGGCCCTGGTTTGTGCTGTTCTTTGTTTGGCTCTGGGCCAGCATCAGAATCCTGGAAGGGCAAAAGAAACACTGCTAATTTGTTGAAGTTTCTCCAAGCAATAAAACCACTGTATTGGAGAATACTCGAAAATAAAGAAAAAAAAATTGAATTCAGTCGGTGGTACTACCTCAGAGTTGGGTTCACTCCCAGTATAAGACACTTGTTTTGTCCATGAATCTCCTCCTGAAGACTGGACTGAAAGAGCTACGAAAGTAACAAGTTTATTCAGTATTCCTACTTAACAGTATCAACAAAAGCATGAAGTGCAGCTAGCTCTCATCCTACCTGAACTGTTGGTCTCCCAAATTTCAGTTCCTAGATTGTTAGGTGAAGAAATGGCTTCCTCAGGTTGTTCAATGCTCAGGCTTCCCTGCTTTTTGACAAAGCGAGGCGGTATCTTGGAGGCAACAGTCCTGTTCTTGACCTGAAGTGGAGGAGAAAATGCCAACAAAATGAATTATGGTTTTGCACAATTACTAGTTAATTAGTAATGACTTGTTTAAACAGTTGACTTGACCTTTCATTAAATATCATTGCTCTTGTCATCATTTATGTAGCAGTATAAAATCAGTTTTCACAACTTGTCATGCAGAAAACTATCCATAAGGTGATCCAGAAAGGAAAATGACTAAATTTAATCTAACGGGCTGTCAGAATCCAGCCTGTTTGATCTTGGGCTTATGCATAGTCAGATTCCAGTGTGTCGGATAACACTGGACACCAAATTTCTGCTTGAGGTGAGCAGCAAAAATTATGGTTGCCATAAAGAGTTATAACAGAAACATGCCAACATGTCTGTTACGTTGGAAGCAAAACACAAACATTTGCAATCAAAGCCTTTACGAGGCATTACTGACAGCTTCTTTCAATCCTACAAATCAGGTAATTTAATTAATCAGTTAGCTAAGAGACCCAATTAAATCAGCTAGGAAAAGTCTAGACTTTGGTAAAGCACAACCCTGAATTTGGTTTATAGGGGTGGCTGTGGTGGAGTGGGGAGTCATCCAGTAACTGGTTGCCAGTTCTATCCCCCATTCCATCTGTCTCAGTCGCTGTGTCCTTGGGCAAGACACTTAACCTGTTTGCCCACTGATGGTGGTCAGAGGGGCCGGTGGCGCCGGCGCACGGCAGCCCCGCATTCATTGCTACAATGTAGCTTACCACCATCAGTGTGTGAATGATTGAGGTGTAAAGCACTTTGGGTTCCATATTGACTTGATAAAACACTATATAAATTCAAGTCATTTACCATTTATGATTCAAAAAAGAAATGGACAGCTATTTTGCTTATAGTTGCTGAACTCTAAGCTACAGATGCAAAGTTAGCCAAAGTCTTTGTCGATGTCCATCAGAAAATAAAAGGAATAAGAGAAGTATAAGAGAAGTTTAGTCAGGACAGCTTTAAACCAGGTTGTCAAGCTTTGGTGTTTGGGGCCCAAGCCCTCCTCAAAAAAAGTCAGAATGCTGTCTCCTCGGGGGTCTACCACCTGTGAGGAGGACTGTGCTGGTTGGGGGTAATGCAAGCCAGGTGGCAGGCGAGGGAGGGTCCCTAGTCATGCCGACTCCTGGTGGCATAAACTTGGCAGATTTGTAATGTCACCACTGGTGGGTAAGGAGCCAGACCATGTAAGTGACTGAGCTGCACAGGGAGTCTTTTCTACCATTCTACAATTATTTACTAGAGGATACAAATTATGTGGATTGGTGTCTAATCCAGTATCGTATTTTCACAACAAAATGACCCATCAAATACCGTAATGTTCTGCCCTAGAAAATGAATAGTCTGTAGCTCCTGTACTGGTCAAATTAAACTCTAAACATTTATTTTGAGCATACATTTAACTCACAGTGGCTACTTGTTCCTTTCTCCTTCTCTCATCTTCCTGTGGACGTCGTTGCTTTTTTGACAAGGCGTCCTGGTATCCATCTGGGTTTGTACTTCGTCCCACTGTGTCGTCAACTACAAAACAGATAGGCCATCAGTGCAGAAATCACATGTTGATATGCAACAACTGTAATGTTTGCTATTATTCATTCATTCATTTATTTATTTCAAACAGGTTTTTAAAAACAAGAAAACAAGCAATCTGTAGGACAGAGAAAACGTGCATACATAACCAAGAACCAAATAATTAGCTAACTCATTATCTGAGTTGACACATCACAAACCTTCAGTTCGAATTTTTTCCCAATGGATTAAAAAAAACTACACTAGAATCTGTGAGAATTTTTTATGTAGCAGAACTCACTTGGGTAGCCACCAAGTTCATACTGTGAGAGAGGTTCAGTTAAGTCCATCTTGACAGGTCCTGGTTTCAGTTCTTTGTCACATTTCTTCCCTGAGATCTCACTGGGCTCCCTGTCCTCTGTTGGTGGCTCTATACTGTAGACTGGACCAGACTCATCTGGGCTCCTGTTGCAGAAAGAGTGATGACAAGCCAAAGGTGTTTTAATCAAGTATGTTTGTTTTTATCAACCAAACAGAAAGGTTTCAGTTTTGTGCCTGTATTTTTTTAATGTCATAACGTATGTACGTGTCAAAAAAGATGCAGAATAACAATTACTAGCCTCACCTTTTACAAGTAGTCCCTCCATTCTGCCAGCTGTCACTCCTGTTAGACGACGCGGGGGGATTATCAGGTGTGCGTATCATCTTGCTTGCTTCTAGCAGCGATGGCTCTCCTTTCCGGTTCTGCCGCTCCACCAGTGGTCTTTGACTGGAGAAGCTTCTCTTGGAGAGCTCCCTCTTTTCACCAGAGCCTGGTTCACTGTGGCCAGAATCTGAGGGAACATCAACGTGTCCTTGTGGAGCCAAGCCGTCGCTTCCACCCCTTTTCTCTCTCCAATCCCCAAAGTCACTGTTGTCTGATCCTGTCTCCCATTCCTCTGTGTGGCCATGCTGGCTAGAATGTCCAGAGAAGTGCCCACTGGGCCAGTGGTCATCACTGTTCCCTTTAGTGCGACCTTGCCAGGGATTTGCAAAGTCTCCATTTATGTGCTCATCGCTCGTCCACTGGTTTGATCCAGGTTCTCGTTCTTGTCGAAGACGACGAAAGCGAGGAGGCTTGTCTTGACGTGGAGGACGGCGCCTTCGTAGCATCTGTCTGTCAGGGTTCTCGCTCTCAAAGTAGTATTCTCCTTCACGGTCCTCAGAGCCATTCTCCAAAAAGGAGCTTGTAAATTTAGACGTGTACTTGAAAGGTTCACGCTCAACTGGCAGTCTGCGGGAATAAGCAGCCTCTACTCCAGGACAGTAACCATTCTCTTGCACAGAGCCACTGTTGCTGCCAAACTGGGGTCCTCTGCCCCTCCATGAGGAAACATCTCTGGATCCTCCAAAATTTCGACTGTAGCTACCACTGACGTTCAGCCTCGGAGGCAGAACACGACCTCCAAAGCCCCTCACCTTGGCCTTTTCTCTGGAATCTGATGCATGCTCATCTGTGTAGATCTTGTTGGACCTCCAAGAGTCTCTATCAGCCTTTCGAACTTCTCCAGACTCTGTTTGCCCTTCTCCATTTTCCGTTCCTTTCTGCTTACGCCTCTTAGGAAGCTCCTCATACTCTGATGCTTCACTTAAGGTCTCACTAACATTTCGCCTGCGAGGTTTGCCCCTCTGATACTCCTCAGTCTTTACAAGGTCCCTGGGTGGTGCTCGACCTCTGGCTGGCCGCTGTACACCACTGCCGTTGTTATACACCCCTCTGAGGTTATCTCCGCCTCGACCGCCACGAGTTCCACCACGAGAACCAAATTCCCTAAAGCCTCGGCTGCGACCTCTACCTGTGCCCCTGACTGAGCCGAAGGCCTGTTCTTCATCAATGAAGATCCAATTATTGCGACGTGGTGCCTGAGAATCTCGACTTTCTGGATTTTCTCTTGGTATCTGACTTTTGCCAGTACTCCAGGCATTTTCTTTAGGAAAATCGTCACTATGGGTGCTTTGAGGTCTGTCTGTTTTACTAGGAAGTGGTGACTGATGCTGCCTTTCTTCAGATGGTTTCTCAGCAACAGGTGAGGCTGGACGCCTATGGTTGGTAGGCTGGTTATCTTTCTTTAAGTCATAAACATTAGTGAGGACTTCCTTCTCCAGGCGATAAGGAACAGGTTTCTCTTCAGGCTCAGATTTAGGCTTTTCATTTTCTTTGTCTTCCAGTTTAAGAGCCTTAAGAACAGGTTTCTTAATGGGGCCAGTTCTGCGAGTTAATATTCGCCCAATGGTCTCAGAGGGCTGGCTGACACTACTACTGGAACTGGTCTCAGACCACTGACTCTGTGAATTAAGAACTCCGTCTGGTTTTAGGCCTCCATCTCTTTTCCAACTGTCCTTAGAGCTATCCAAAGTGTCATTGTGATTTTCAAGACCATCTTTCAAATGTTTGTCTCTAAAATCTTGCTTTGAGCATTCGCTGTCTGAAAAGTTTTGAGAGAGGTTTTGAGCAGTGGTCAGAAGGCCTTGGTCATGGTGTCTGTGTTCTTTCTCTGAGCCTCTGCTTTGGTAAGAATGATGGGCAAGATCATCTTGAGTGTACCTCAAGCCTTCATTGGCCCGGTCTTCATATGGGTCTGAATGGGAATCATCTCTGTTGAAATTTGAACAAAAAAAATAAATAAAAAACTCAAATACAAAATAAAATGATGAATATTTCTTGTGCTTTCCAGTGCCATTGCAATACTCTGGGTATGTTTTTGATGACATAACATGAAATATAGCTAAAAAAAAGTCAATTTTGCATAAGAAAGAAATATATAAATTAATATTTTTTCTAACACAATAACTGACCTGTCACCAGACTGGCCCCTGTCTGAAGTTTCATGCTGTCTCTGGTAAGGTGGAGTGAAGCTGCGCAACGGGTAGCCATCTTGACTCCACACTGGGTAAGGCTCAGCAGATGGTGTTCGTTTCTCTTGGTGCAGCTTGGAATGGCATCCTTCATCTGAACCAGGACTGTTTAAGTGGTCCTGATGCATGACTGGTTTGACCACTCCTAAATAAAACAATTACAGTGGTTAAACAGAAAAACTGAAGATCATTATTGTTTGAATTTATACTTGAGGAAAAAGGGGCAGATGTACCATAATAATATTATTTTCTTCTCTCTGCCACCTTTCATTTCATTTTATTTTATTTGTATTTTCTTTTTTTAATGGTACATAAAATTACTTTTGTTTTTTTTAAGAAATTAATAGTTTAAATAAAAAATAAATAAATAAAAACATCTGGGCTTTGTAGGAAATCCACTTTTCTGGCCAAGTCACCAAAGTATTCAGAATTTACTTGCATGGTTATAATGTATTTCTAATCGTAAGCCTAATGCAAGCAGAAACTCTAAACCTCGGCTCAATTTTGCATCAAAACACTGCTCCACCAATGTGCCGTTTCAGACCGGTCATCTGAATCAACGCAGCTTCAGTGTTTACCTGAAGAATGAACAGAACCAGAGTAGTAGTCTACAGGAGATCGTCCTTGAGCCATGCGTGGATCCATGAAAGGTGGCATCATCATCCAGCGGGGATCAAACCCAAGCACATGTGGGGGATAATAGCTCCGCTGGGCATGACTTGAGCTTGAAGGAGGAGGGTGACCTGACTGCTGCCAGTGCTGCATTTTAAGCAAAGATTCCTATGAATTGCACAAAACACAGTTTTTAAAACGGGAAAAAATTCAAAACACTGTTATTAGAACAAAAATAATTCATTCATATTCTATTTACTTTTGAAGTCTGGGGTAAAGGATGTAAAACAATCACAAATCCTATTTTTATTTTACAGAAAAGAGCAGTAAGAATCATCACCAGAAAACATTACAGTCACCCTTCAAATATATTATTTAGTAAATTAAAATTATTAAAATTTTATGAGTTGGTTGATTATAATATTTTGCAGCTTATGTATAAGGCTCATAAAAAATGTTACCTTTAAACATCCAGTTATATTTTGTTAAAAGAGAAAGTTCTTATAATCTTAAAGGACTTGAGATGTTTATTAAACATAGAATTCAAACAAACTTGAAGAACAGATGTACTTCGGTTCAGGGAATAAGATTGTGGAATACTCTAGAAAGTGATTATAAAAATGCCGGTTCAATGTATTTCTTTAAAAGAAAGACAAAAATAAGTTTGCTAAAGAAATATGAAACTGTATAATGTATACCAAAATTGTTGTTTGAAAATAAACTGAAGTTTTTTTTTCTTGATTATTATTGCTTTAAATTAATTATAGAAAAAGGGGCAGATATAAGATTTTTTCTTCTTTCTGCCTCCTTTCATTTCAATTTGATTTGTGTGTTTATGTATGTATGTATGTATGTATGTATGTATGTATGTATGTATGTATGTATGTATGTATGTATGTATGTTTGTGTGTATATACTGTATATGTTGTGTATATATTTTTTGTTTTTAATGTGTATCAATTTTTTTGTTTTAAATGAAATGAATAAACTAAACTAAAAAAAGAGCTCTTTGGCATTACACATGCTAGGCATAATAATTTGCGGTGCAATTAATGGCAAAAATACAAGCTTTAAAGCTTTTCGTAGTAGCATTCTTTATTCTTTAAGCTTGTGAAAATCTTCCTCGAGCAAATACACAAAGTTATTAATTAATTTGAAATAAAGACTTAAAAAGTGGTCAAAGTTCAAGTGCTCACCTGCTGCTGGAGGTGTTGTGGCTGCTTCTGAAAGCGGGGTGGAACTGATTTGGAGAGTTGACGTCCACTGTAGTCTTCTGAAGGGGAAGAGGGCTCCTGACCATCGTCTTCACTGCTGCGGTGAGTAGAGAAGCCAGGCTCGTCACGGTAACTACTGCCAGAGGAGTTGACTGGCAGACACTCGCTTCCTTCTGGAAAAATTATTTGATTAGAAAATCTTTTTAGAACAAACTATACAACATTTTCTAAATTTATGTAAAGTGAATTAATACATTTATTTGCGTTGTGCCCTTTTTTTTTTTTTACCTTTTGTGTTGTACAGCAAGCTTTCGTTATGGCCTTTACTCTGTTCCTCGTCTGGGGAAAGCGGGGCTTCTTTGCCCTCCGTCTCCTTTGAGCAATCGTCTACCCTGGACATCTGTCTTTCAGTCTTCCCAAATCTCTCGTCCAACTTCTTGAGTTTTTCAGCGCACGCAGCTAGTCGCTCCTCACGAGCACGTCTCTCTTCCTCCTCCCGACGTCTGCGGGCTCTCTCAACTGCTTCAGAAAGCTCAGGCGTCACATATTTTCCCCTAGCTGGTGCCTGGCTCTGAGGCCGCTGGTAATCATCAGAGTCAGCTAGAGGTTCAACGTGGTTTTTCTGCTGGGCCTAGAGGCGGGACAGAGGCACTTACATGAGAATGTGGGATGTTTTTAAGTGAAGCAAAAAATAGTATTATTTTTAGCAGAGTAAATTGTAAATAGTATTCTTAAAGAAAAAGCTTAAAGTAGTTAACCTGGCTGTCAGAGAGATATCTGTTGCTGAGCTTTCTGGGAGCCTCATGGTGATGATGTTGGTACGAGTAATTTTCCTCAAGGGCTTCTTGAGAATAAGACTGTTCCCCTGAACTAAGGGAAGATTGTCGGTCCCGTTGGTTCTCCCTCTCCCATTCATTCCTAAAAGTAAGCAGTAACACATTAAATAAATAAAAATTAACAAAACAAAATGACCAACAACGATTAAGAAGGAGCTTGTACCATATCTTGCTCCTGTCACCAGTAGCGTGTTCTTCTTCGTCATCACTGAACTTAAGCTTCTCGCTGTAATCAACTTCTTCATGAAGTCCTAGAAAAAATAAATAAAATAAAATCAGGAAGTGCAATGATTATGAAAATATGACTCATTTTATGCAATTACACACACACACACACACACACACACACACACACACACACACAC